AAAAAAAAAAAAAAAAAAAAAAAGGATGATGATGGTGGGGAGTCTGCGAAGGAGACAGTATTTCCAAAAACCCGTCTCCCCATCTTTGAAAATTCCTTCAACAACATAATAGCCCTGCCTTTCTTTCTCTTTTCTCTTCTTTTTTGTTCTTCCCCGTATAAAAACAAAGTTAATTTAATTAAAATTAAAGAAAAAGAAGAACACCCCAACATCCTCCCCATCGCCCATCGTGCTGTTCTGTTCTGTTCTGTTCTGTTCTGCTCTGCTCTGTTCTGTTCTTTTCTCTTCTGTTGTTGTCTTTTTTTGATTTCAACTTGTGAAGTCGTAGTAAAGCTGAGGTTGTTCTGTGTCGTTGAGGCTCCATGACAGAATGGCCACGCTCGGATTCATATCATTCCCAATTCCATGAGCGAATCTGGGTGTTCTTTGGGTGTGCGAGTGGTGCTGAAGCCACGAGCTTGTCTCGTTTCTGTACATCGAACTCGCTTGCTGCCCTGAACTCGCTGCTTTTCTCTCTTCCTTTTTGTATCTAATCCCACACGCATTGCATAACGACTGTGCCAAATTATCAATAATCCATCAAATCCATATATTAATTGAATGGTTAGATAGAGAATAACAGAGGAGAGGATTGGATTGGATTAGATTAGATTGGATTGGTTTGGTTACCTTTGGGCCACTAGGGCCGTTGCGCCAGAGGGGGGTGGTAGTGGTGTCGCAATTGGCGCAGTGGCGAGCGAACATTTGGTCAGCATTGGAGCTGGATTTATCACCACCACGGCGGCCACTTTTGGAGGAGGGAGGATGTTTGGTGCGAGATAAATCCCAGGCGAAATTAGAAGCGGATTGCTGCTCCTCGCGGCGTTTCTCATCAAACTCCGTCATACGAGTGGAGGGGGTACCGAGAGAGAGCGTACAATCGACAACCGGAGAAGAGGATTGGAAAGAATAATGTTGAGATTCATAGTAATTGTTGTAAGCAGGCATGGAGAAGAAGGTGGTCTGCTGCCCGTAAAACGCAGCCTCACAAGAACACTCTCCGGCGGAGTAGCATTGGTAGCTTCCACAGCGTTGCATCATCTTTGTTGACTTTGAATATGAGAAGCAAGAAGGAAACAGAGGAATGGGTAGG